TAACGCTTCATTGTTGATAATCTATTTTCTTATAGACAATGATCTAATCTATATAAATGCAGTGGGTAGGCAAAAAGTGTTACCTACCTATGTGAAATGTGTCGTGAGATAGAAGATGCTCAGTAATTAGCGGGGGTAAGGCGTCTGATTAAAGTAAGGTTTAACCTAAGAACGGCTTAGGAGCCGCTGGATTGGCACCGCCCCCAGTTTTTACCGCCGAGTTTCTTTCATCCATAGCTGTGCTGTTGTTCTCATTACACTAATGCAATCAATAATGCGAGCTAATAAATTAGTTTTTATTGGATTCACTTTTAATTAAATTGGTAGGTAGCTATATACATTATTCAAGTATTTATTGTCTTTAAAATTGGTGGCATTATAAGTACTTAAGTAGGTTTTTCAACTCGGTACTTCTGTTTTACACTAAGCAAACAGAAACTGCCATCGTGGGAATTAGTTACGGATCGCATTTCATTCTCAATTCAACAGTTCGTACCCTTAATGAAACAACACCCAAAGGAGATGGTTAAACGTGGTAGTTGATTCCCGGCAGCGACGAAACATGTATCATTTGAAACCAATTTTTATATTATAACTTTAAAAAAAACTTTTAATAGTTATTTATACTCGGTTAGTTTTAAATCGTTTTTAAAAATTGAATCATTTTCTAAGGATGCTGGCCACCCACCCTGTCATAGGTAACGATATATTTTTTTTTAGTGTGTGACGGCTTATTATAACGTCAACTTAATCACTATGCCAAATGTTAATCAGCCCAGTCATACATGATATTCATGAAATCGTGGTGAACTTAGTTTACCAATTTATGATTGATTTTGTTTTATGATTTTTATTTATGATTGATTGATTTTCTTCTTCTTCTTCTTCTTTTATGATGGCTTGCGTTGTGACTTAGCACAGCTCCGCCAATGTCAAGTGATTAGCCATTACACGTAAGGGAATGACAGTTAAAAATCAGAATTTTGTTTACCTATTTTATAAGCACTTTTACCTGTAAAGAAAAACGTCACAATTAGGACAACACAAACATAAAACAAGTAAAGCAGGGAGCTTTGTTATAATCTTAGTTTGTTAAGGGAAATAAATTTGGCCAAGAGCTTGAGGGTTGGGTAATCACATAAACATAGTAGGACTTTCATGCTTATAGGACGTGGAATAGTGGGAGGTAAAATGTCATAGAGAGAGATGTTTAATTTGGGGCAGTTAAAGAAAAGATGATCCACTGTACCATCCTCGGTTCCACAATCACATGTGGGGCTGTCACGTATTTTTAACCTGGCCAAGTGAACAGGGGTAGTGGCGTGACCTATCCTTAATCTACAAATTGTAGAGACCACTTTTTTATTAAGATTTTTCATCTTGAAAAACCATGGTTTGGATGGAATATTTTGCTGTATATCGAAGTAGTATTTACCGACACGATTCTTAGTCTGTAGCCAGTGAGTTTCCCATGATTTAAATAAAAGCTCGCGCGTTACGGAATATAAGTCCTGGTAGAAGACTCTGGAGTATTTCGGGAGGCCAGAAGAAATGGCGTGTTTAGCACAAGTATCCGCAGTTTCGTTGCCAGGAATACCATTATGCCCAGGGATCCAGGCTAGGGCTACGTTTGTTCCTTTTAGGTGGCATCTCAACAATGCTTCCCTAATTTTTAATACAATAGGGAATTTAGATTTAGACCGAAATTGGTTTGAATTTATGGCTTGTAAACAGCTTTGGGAGTCAGTAAAAATAAGTGAGTTATTCAGACTGTGAGACTCTATAAATAAAACAGCTTCCAGGATAGCAATAGCTTCACCGGTAAATACTGAGGCTAGTGGAGGCAATTTTAAACTCAAAATTATTTTGTGTGCTGGAAACCATACTGCAGCTCCAATGGATCCTTTATCGTGTAGTCTAGCAGCATCTGTGTATAATGGAGTCCAATTTTGCCAGTGAGTTGAGAGGTTGTTAAAGAATGTCTGAACGGCAGTTGGGGAATCTTTCTCTGCACCGAAATTAAGGATTACGGGCGGAGAGAAAGTCAAAGAATCAAAACTGTTCATAAAAAGAGGCTGACAAGGAAATTGTTCGATGGGGATAGATGTCGAATTGAATTTGTTATAGCTATGGAGGATGCAGGGGATGTTGTTTGAGGAGTTAGGTTGTGAAAGACACAGCTGTGACAGTGTTTTTAATTTTCGCATTAATGGGTGAGACGAAAATGGAAGGATTTTGAGAATAAATCGATCGCTAAGGTATTGCCTACGTAAATATAGGGGTGGATCAACGCTTTCCACTTGGAGGGCGTTGATGGGTGAAGATTTCATAGCTCCAAGTATAATGCGCAAACATTTGGACTGAATTTTGGAAATTTTGTCTAAAGGGAGTTTGTTACAGGGATCCAAGAGAAAGGTACCATAGTCCAGATGGCTGCGGACTATGGCATTATAAAGTAATTTCTGGGTATAAGGGTGGGAACCCCACCATACCCCAGATAGAGCTCTTAGAATGTTGACGCTCTTTTCACATTTCTTAATTACATTTTCGAAGTGAGGACAACCAGAAAGACGTGAGTCCAGGGTGACGCCTAAAAACTTGACTTGGTCGCACAGTGGGATGGGTGTGCTTTCAAAAAAGATGTTTGGCGATGGCATGGTTCGTTTTTTGGTAAACACTGTACAGGAGGATTTACTAATAGACAGTGTCAATCCATGATCTGTAAGCCAGTCACTTAGGTACGACATTGCTAAATTGAGGCGAGTAGAAGCTTCGGGAATGCTTTTGCACCTAGTATAAAGAGCAACGTCGTCTGCATATTGAAGGACTTGGCAAAAGGAGTCAACCGTTTTCTCGAGGTCGTATGTATATACATTATACAGAAGGGGACTAAGGGGTGACCCTTGGGGGAGACCCTTCCAAAGCATTCTCGGAGGGAGCGAGATACCCTGATACCTGATCTCAATAGTTCTACAGGATATTGCATTCAGGATAAAACGAGTCAACTTCACTGGGACACTCAGCTGTTGCAATTTATGCCTGAGTACCGGAAGGAGAACGTTGTCGTAAGCGGATGCTATATCGAGAAATAAACCCACTACATACTCCTTTTTCTTAAAAGCTATCCGGATGTCTGTGGTTAGGATACTAAGATTATCTAAAGTGCTACTACCTTTCCTAAAACCATATTGTGATTTAGCTAGCAGGTTTTGGCTCTCCAATAGCCACTCCAAACGGTTTCTGATCATGTGCTCCATGATTTTAAATAATGTCGAGGAAAGAGCAATTGGTCTATAAGAATTAGAGTCACGGGGATCCTTACCTGATTTTAGTAATGGAATTACTATTTGTTTGTTCCATGACTCAGGGATGATGCCCTGTTCAAAGAATATGTTGACTACTTTTAAGAAGTAGTGTTTGATTTTTTCAGTAGAATTTACTAAAAACGAGTAGGGAATACCATCGACTCCTGGCGAAGAGTCCTTAAGACCGCATAAAGCAGTCTGAAGCTCATTAAAATTAAATGGTTTATCCATGGGGTGACTAGAATGGAGGACGAGATACGGACAGAGAGGGAGACAATCTATAGGAGGAACAAAGGGTGGAGCCAGTTTATCTGCAAAAGTGTCCATCCATTCTGCGGGGTTATTTGAAGTCGGATTGGGACGGTCGGAAGCCCTGCGGAACCTCTTTATTTGTTTCCAGACTTTAGAAGAGGGGGTGCCAGGCGCCATTTCCTCACAGAACCTCACCCAGCTGTCTCTCTTTTTCTTGGCAAGGAATTTTTTTGTCCGGGCATCTGTCTGTTTGTACTGCAAATAGTTCTCCATTGTCATGGACAGATTATATTTTTTTTCCATCTCCTTCCTTTTTCGAATCACGTCAGTACATTCAGCATCCCACCAAGGTGGGTGTTTTTTCCTAAATGAACGGTTTTTTAGGGGGATGTGTTCATCTGCCGAGGAGATCATAACTTCTACTAAGGATGAATAAGCAGAGAGGCAGTTGTCCTGGGATATATCCGGTAAGGATGCTATTTTGACTTCAGCTGTTGCAGAATATGAAGACCAATCAGCTTTATTTAAGTTATACTTTAAAAGAGGAGGATTCGTATTATGTGGGTTGGAAGAGTTGGAAGGCAAAGAGATTACGATGGGGAAGTGGTCACTGCCAAATGTACTGTAGAGAATGTCCCAGTTAAATTGTGAAGCCACATTTGGAGAACAAACAGTAAGGTCCACCGCACTGAAGTTCTGAGATGGGGAAGTCCGCCTAGTAGGCCGGCCAGTGTTAATGACACATAGGTTCTCTTGGTCAAAGAGATCAAGAAGAAGAATGCCAAAGCTGTTTGATTGTTGAGATCCCCAACAGGTGTGGTGGGCGTTGAAGTCACCCATTAGGGTGATTGGCGGTGGAAGAGCTTTAATGATTGACCGAAGCTCTTGAATGGAGTCAGCGTTAGGGTGAGGAATGTATATTGAGGCAAAAGAAATGCCAAGGACTTTCACTGCCACTGCATTAATTCGATCTGAATTATGGGGGGGAAGAATTAAATTTTCATAAACCAAAGACCGTTTTTACCAGAAGGGCGCTTCCCGCCCATCCATCACTCCTGTCATCCCTAATTATTAAAAAAACTGGAACATAATAAATTTTAGTTTGTTATCACACGAATAAAAGTTTTGAGACTGCGGAGACGGAGTACAATCCTGCATTCAAATTTTAACCATGTCCTTTAAAATCTATATTATTTTATAGTCTCTGTAATGTCTTGATTATATGAATAAAGAAAAAGTACGTGTCCAATATTTTTTGATTATTTATCTACCAAATGGACAATGAAAAAAATGTAAGTTATCATCAATATTGCGGTAGGCAATAGTGAATAATATATTACAGTACCGCGTAGCCTATACCATCTGGCGACTCATACGCACGGCTTTGAAATAAAAATTGGTCTAATTTTGATATTTATTTTCATTTGCATTATTTACTTTCAGGTGGTGTTTCTATCGGAGAAGAACAGCTACATTCCTGTGAGCATCAAGCCCAGATCGCCAGCCGTGGATACCACGTGGCGCGAGCCACCGGCTTGGGAGAGGGAATACCGGCGTCACAGGACCAATGGCAGCAGAGTGCAGTGTAAGCAATATTTTTAAATAATAAATAAATCCAACACCCATTAGCTTAGCTCCAAAGTAAGCACAGTAGGCTTGTCTTATGGGTAAAGTTATTTTACTGTGATTGTCTGTAAGGTGGAGATTACTTCTCCAGACGAGCGCTCCAATTCGAGCGGAAAATCCACTATGCCCTACCTCTCTATGCAAGTAAATGCGCAGTCCACCTGATAGTAAGTGGGCACTGTTGCCTATGGACATTTGCAGCACCTAGTATGGGGTACTACTCATTCGTGCTGAATATAAAAAAAATGGTTTACCCGCTTTTTGAAATACGCCTTAGCATAGCTAAATGGAAAACCGCTGAGGGAAATTCGTTACAGATCTTGCTGGTGCATAAGAAAAAAGGAACGTGCGTAACTCTTAATGACTTCATACTAGGTACCTGTTTTTATTGTTGTTATGCTGTTTGAAAAGAGTTCAGACCGGAAGGGCGGATTGCGAAAGATGCGGGTTTAAATCTCGTCTGAAACCTCGACCGATTGGATATTTTTTTGTAAAATTTTCAAAACATTTCAATATTAGATCTGTTATATTAACTGATTTTCTTCACGTTGCAGACATTGAAGCCGAATGCCAGGACGACTTCATGAAAATCAGAGTTGGCTTCAACGGGTCATTCGCTGGACTTGTCTATTCTGCGGGTAAGTTAATTTGAAGATGAGAAATATGTAGGTATTTAGTAGACCAAATATGTAATCTATTTGAAAACTACTTTTTGTTTAATTGTTCTTAGTTATTTTTCCAAAACGGAACTTATAAAATTAAATTTTATTATTACATAATCTAGAAATCAAAATGCGTTACACTTATTTACCATGCATGTTAAGAAGACACCTCCTAAGAACTTACATTTATCACTATACTACATCTTAAATTTGGTTTACACATATTTTTGATGAAATATACATATGATGCACTACAACAAAACTCTTAATTTGGTGCACAAACATACTTAAAAACTTCATGAAAAATATGTATATTATAACAATTTATTGATAGGATGAGGAATCGACAAAAATGAGTTGGTAGTTATTCGATGATTAAGTACTTTTTCTTTGGAAAACTCAGGCGCATAATACGCGCAAAATTAGTTGTTCGATTGAACATCACTGTAAAATATTGTACATGCTAGTCACTTTCTTTCAAAAACACATTTTACTCGTAGGTACTTGATATTGGAGGAGACACTGAATGGAATAATGATTGTAATTGAATAGACAACGTAGAATAGATTCACAAAAATAAATAAAGAATAAATAACAGGAAGAAAAGTACTGAACAGATAAATTATTGCTATTTGAATTAAAGATGTGAGTATCGAATTATTAAATGATAGCATTGTTGGAACTGTAAAGAAGTGTTGTAATTATATTATCTAAATGACAATTGCAATAGGGTTAACACAGACCAAACACAAAAGACATAGGTATCAGCTTACGCCCTATTTAATATTGAGCACCCTATGGTATTAAAATTTTATACAGTTATATAGTTTCATTCTAGGGTCAGATAAAGGCAAGTATGTTAAAGGGAACACAGTAATCTTTGGAAACAGTTACCGCGATAACATAAACCAGGTGTCATTTTATTGTTGCGCCGGTTATTAATTCGCACAGTCCATTAAAGTCAGGCGCGCGAATCAGATATAACTGCACAAAGCGACAAGATAAAATTAACACTTCTAGTTAAGACTAACTGTCATTTATTTAAGATTTCTTTATTCTCCATAAGATTAAGTGACGTTTAAAACGGAGCGCTCCCTTTCGAAGTGTGGTAACTATAATTGTTACTGTTGCTCCACATTAAAAGGTGCGTGGTAAATAATAATTTTCATGTATATCAATTATACAGTTAATATACTTACCTACCTAGTCACTAAGGTTTCTGTGACATTTTCCAGTCTATGTTGTAACGGTATCAAAATAACACTTTGTATATTTCAAAATTGCATTTAACTAGTGACCGACCATCGTTTCGCTTCGACCTATATAAGTATACCTACTACACTTAGATGTTAGGGCATGTATTGTTTGTATGCACAATTATCAGCTAGATACTATTCACTGAAGGCTTTTTTTTAAATCGATGATGGAAGTCACACGAACATCCGTTTAGTAGGTCTACTCTATATCTCCGAAACGAATTTTTGAGAACGAAGTTCAAACGAAATTTAATTTTTGTTAATTTGAGTTAATACTTAATTTTAACGATAAACTATCACATAATTATTTGATTTGAGTATACTTAGAGAATCTAAACCTCAATCTATATTTGGGCGAACGTATATTAAAATAATCAAAAAGGAATAAGAAATAAAGTAAGAAGCTTGCGAAGTTTCGATTGAAATTTAGTTTTTCATCAATTTTGGAATAGGCCTTCAGAAGTTTTTTAAATCATCGCGAACAAACAGATAGACATATGTATGCAGCGGGGTACTTTGTTTAATTATAACATGTAGTGATGTGCTCAACTTAGTTATGATGGAAAAGGATAACACGAAAATTTTATTTCGCCCTTTGTCAACAATAAGTTCTCCGAATAAAATACAAAGGATTTCGTGTTAATTATATTCTAAAATAACACTTTCGCTGGTGTGTCTATTACTGTTGCGAGCAGGTAATTGATTGACAACGTGCTCGATTAACTTTGTCGACGGCCGATGTTCTAAAAATAGTTGGCGGTGAATTCTCTAAAGCTCTTATAAGCTCGACAATTATGTGATTCGTTACACTTTTAGAAAAATAACTAAATGTTTCCTAGTCAACTAACTTATTCGGTTTCTAAGAAGTAATGCAAACATGGTACGCTTTCACTGACCGTATACTGATAGAAGCTTACAAGATCGATTCGATATACTTGATCACTTGACGCAAGGAAATAAAAACAAAAATGCATGTCTTTGTCACTATATTTTATTTATATAGTGACAAAGACATGCTTTTATATAGGTACCTACCTGAAAACGTAGAACTTTAATTATTTAAAGGCTTTATTTTAACATCTTATGACCTTTGCATGAACGCAACAAAATGAGTGATTTACTTACCTGACGCAATTTTTTTTATCAATTTTTGTAAATAAACAGTGATTATTTTTAATTACGGTGTAACTTATTGCATGCATTCACATCCAAGCCATTTTTTGATGAATAGGTACATTAGTACAGAGATAGACCTATTTCTACAAAAAAAAAATGACCCACGGGACACTTTCTATGGATGAATTCGTACCTATTTATCCCCGTAACTGCGAACATTTGGAGGTATCTATACTCCTATACTAATATTATAAAGCTGATGAGTTTGTTTGCTTGTTTATTTGGTGGAACGTGCTAACCTCAGGAACTACTTACTGGTTCGATTTGAAAAAATATTATTGTGTTGGAAAGTGTATTTATCGAGGAAAGCTATGAAGCATAACGCTACGATAAATAGGAGCGGAGGAGCCTATGAAAAATGTTGCAAAACCGGGGGAAAAATCCATTTGAGAGTTTCCGTCGAGTGCGCTGTGTAACCATTAAAAGTTGCGTAACACAAAAATCATGTATGCCGAAGTTGTTCCCCTTCAAAAGACATATTTTAAAGCTGACCCACTAAATAACCGCTATCCTCAAATTAAAGCGGTTGAAACTGTAATGAAATATTAAACAATTACTAACCTATGTAAATTTTTCCTTACCAGGATATTCGTACGACCCTGACTGTATGTACATCAACGGCACGGGGCGCGACTACTACGAGTTCTACATCCAGCTGAACCGCTGCGGCACCCTCGGCAGGAACAGCCAGCACGACGACACCAGGAAACATCCCACTGTGAGCTCTTAAAATATGCAACATCAAGAGAAATGGGCTTGAAGGTAGTGTGGCACCACTGACCGACATGAATCAAAGACCGACATTTTTTTCTGCATTTAATGAAATTAATGTGTAGTAGGTAACCGATCACTAAATATGGTAACACCGAGTGCCTATACATATATATGTATATTTTTTGTGTGTTTATGCTGTTGTTGGTCGCAGATGACCTCATCGGTCATCGGGTTTGGGGACGGCGAGATCTTAGAGGGGCTTCAAGCTGAGCCTCTAGACCACTCGAATCTGAGGGGTCAGCCGAGCGTCTATAGCTCGCTCATTGTTGCCACTATTCTACCTTTCTTCCGATTTTCAGATTTCAACGCCCATTTGAGGAAACAGGCACCACCTTGCAGAAGACTGCAACACAAAACACTATTTTGTGGTATTCTTCCTCTATAGAACTGTAGGGTTATAGGAGAATTACGTTCATTTAATGATTACCTGTGTTTTCCGGTATTATTAGCAAGAGAATAAATTGACATGTGTAAACCTCACAAATAGGTACTATCTTTTGTTAAGATCGGATCCAGATTTCCTATTTTCTGTGCTTTTTTAGTACTTATGGTATTTTAATACTTAGATACTAACATCAGGTTCGAGTCTTTTCATACAACACTCTTGCATTTAAGTGTCAAAAACAAATGAAATCTTGACAGCTATTGATAAGACCCTGCTTCATAAACTAGCGGTGAACTTACCACGGCCATAGCCAGAGTTGTATTTATTAGAGGATGACCAGAGGTGTGGGGTCCTTCGCAGCCTGCCGCCCCGTTTTAAGGTAGGGCAATGGTATTTTAAGGTAGGGCATTGCACCATAATGCCTGGATCTTACTAGGAGGAAAGTACTTATGCAAAATACTGATTATCACCAGCTCCCATCATGTTTATATTCCAGAAGAACCTGATGTGGAACACGATCACAGTGCAGTACAACCCACTGATTGAGGAGGAGCTGGACGAGCACTTCAAGGTCACCTGCGAGTACGGATACGACTTCTGGAAGACCGTCACATTCCCTTTCTTGGACGTTGAGTGAGTTTCGTAGGTTTTTTGTCTTGTAAGTTAATTTCCCTACGTATGGAGGATGGATGGAATAGGGAGATTGGACCATGAGCTATGACCCATTGTGTGGGTCCAGTTTATATTGGTGGATATTAACGCTTAACGTACTTTCCGAAGTACGAAGGATAGTACTTTTTTGGTCACTTCCAATTCCAACCATATTTATTTGTGCTGCTTCCAACACTTCCACAATACTACTTTCCAATTTAATCCTGTACTTGAGACTGTATATGTGAAAGTTTGTATGTTTGTTACTCCATCAACGTGGTTGATGGAGAACTGATTTGAAAAACGGTTGAACTGATTTAGATGTACTTTGGCACACGCGTAGTTCATTATCTGGATTGAGATAGAATATTTTTATCGTGCTTCGGAAGGCACGTTAAGCTGTTGGTCCCGGCTGCATCTGCAGTCGTTAGCACCCACCAATCCGCACTGGGCCCGCGTGGTGGGTCGTGGCGCAAGGTTCCCTATCCCATTCGTAGGGAAGGCCTATGCCCCAGCAGTGGGGACATTAAAAGGCTGATGATGATGGTGATGATACTTTTATCGCGGGAAAATGTTAGTTCTTGTAAGATTTTCAAAAAACCACGCCGCTGACTGAAGTTTTACACCCACCAACTGAACGCTTAGTGTTTGTTCTAGCACCATGCGACACGCGCGTTCCTTTTTCTTGCGTTCCGGCAAGATCTGGAACGAACAACTTCAACGCGGATGATGTCGAGGGCGGACGGTAGTAACGTATGATTGAGTTTGTTCTTTTCTCTTTCCTACTAGAGTGGCGACGGGCAACCCGGTGGTGTTCACACTGCAGCCTCCGGAGTGCTACATGGAGATCCGCGCGGGGTACGGCGCCACCGGCGCGCGCGTCTCCGGTCCCGTGCGGGTGGGCGACCCCCTCACGCTGCTTATCTACATGAGGAGCTCTTACGGTAAGACATTACTATAGATTTACCATAGGTATTTGAGGAAAATTATTATCACATGAACTCTGGTAAGCGCCAACTTTACTCTGAGCCCGTTCGTGCGATGTCACACTATAAACGTTTCCCCTTAAGTAAGTTAGCTAATATTATTCCTATCTTGGTCAACATTCGTCGTTGTGAATCCAATATCTGCTATGTGCACATATTGGAGATTTCGGCATTTTCACCATTATAGGTAACTAGTATACTAACCAAATTTTCGAATACAAAAACTGCTATGCGAATCTTAATCAATATAACGGTAAGCAGAGGTTGCTAAAAATTTATCATGAAATCAGTCAGAATATTGTCAAATATAAACTGCTATATCTTAAAGTTATGTGTTTTTCACATAGCAGATATGGGTGACAACGATCATATTCAATAGCGGTGGCATGGACCATGAAATTGGGCTGAAAACGATTTCACGTACCGAAAACGGTAAAGTTCAAGGGCATAGGCCGGCAGATAGTTATTCTGTAACGGAGTCGTAATAACGCTCGCGTGATGCAGCTCATCTCGAAACAAGTATCGAGCTATTCGATTCATCGATTATCGATACGATCCGCATCGAAGTGTGTCAAACTTTTACTAGATAACGAGAAGGAGCGATACTTGTTTTACGATACAATAAAACATTTCGGACCGCACCAACTTTTAAATCTTAGCGGACCTTCAATTACGAATACCTACTTATAAACTTGAATAAGCGATTAAAATTAACAGTTAGATAGTTTACATTCTTTCTTTATGATACAAAGGAAGAAATAGGTATGATTACCTCAGTTACTATTCATAACTACTACGTTACTTACTAGCAGCCCGTCCCGGCTTCATACGGATGTATTTTACAAAAGGAATCAATTACCAGTTTGGGATAATTAATTTAAACACGTAGGTACCTATTATTAACAATATTTCCTAAAATACTATATTATTTAAACTCACAAAATAGATTAAAACTACTAAATAAACTAAATACTTATACCAAACTAAAAATAAAACTATATTATGTAAAAAAACGACCCCAAATCGCTGCGCTCGCAGGGTAGGGTGCCCAAGAGGCTGACGGCATTTCCCCGTTGAATGGCCAGGCTCAACCTTTGTCCGAAATGCGCGCCAGCCCTTGGATCCCCTGAGGCGTCGATGAAGCTTGTGGAAATCTTCTTAAATAGCTGTCGGGCTTCCATACCCCAAAGCCCCAAGGTCTCCACGGCAAAAGGCGCAAATATATACGGCTCTCCCAAGGCCCCATATTTACGCCTTTTATTACTAGGTACTTATTTTAAAATTGAAATAGACCAGAGAGAAGAACATTTAAGGCAAGCTTTTATGACGTCTGCTCGAGTTCCTTTATGTACCACCGGCAAAATATATCGAAAATGACCAGCAAAAATAAAGGTAATGCCCCCGTTATCAACAACAAAGACTATTTTACAAAAACTATAAAACAATTTCTGTATTGGTTCTGAAATGTGAAGGTCTAGATTTTGTTTGTATTTGTCTTTTAATTATCCCAGGTGCGTCAATAAATATGTACTTTCCTTTGTTATTATTAACGCTATCAGTGATAATATTGTATATGTATATGACGCTGAATATTTATATAAATATATGTGATAAAAAAACAAATCACCGATTTAAGAAAGTACAATTACTTATTATACACGGAAAGTCTTGTAACGTTAAGATTTTTGCTGTCGATCTGTCTTCCGTAGTCGATATGTCGTCTGTCTGTCTATCTATCATGTTATGTTTGTCGTCTTGTCTGTCTATATGTTGTCTGTTGTGAATTTCCAAAAATTCTATCTTAGTGTGTCTAAAATTATTTCTGGACAATATAAAGGACTGTTTAAATCTTATTAATCTAGGTCCAGCTGTTTTGGATTTGCGTTATGAGTCAACCAGCCAATCAAAACGAATCAGCATCCGGAGGTAATAGTATATACGTAGGCATGATCTGGTAAAAATGGTTTCGAAATCGGTCAAGTGGTTGGAAAATTGAATTTTACCCATGTCCGTGGAATTAACAGAACAAAAGTTGTACATAGACTTCTACAATTTCAAACATTGAAGATTTCGTTTTGAAAATCAGTTAAGTGGTTTAAGAAATAGGATTTGACACCCGTAGTCTCATTCCCGTATAATTGTTGGGATTTTTTTTGTTTTATTGTAAGCCATTGTAGAAATAATTTTAGGTCTAGTTGTTTCGGCTGTGCGTTGATGAGTCAGTCAGTCAGTCTGTCAGTGTATTCTTTTCTGTCTTTAAATAATAGTATAAATAATAAAATATCTTAAATTAAATTAACAATTACATATTCGCATTCTATGAATAAAGAAGAATTCATTTTTTTTATTTTTGTTTTCAGACGGGTTTGATATTGTGGTAAACGACTGCTTCGCCCACAACGGCGCTACGAAGCGGATACAGCTCATCGATGAATATGGGTATGCAATTCACAATTTAGACGATGAACGCTTGTTCTCAGTAGTTTTAGTTTAGGTCCGTCCCGCGACTCCGTCCGTCTGACTTTTTATTTAATGATAGTAAATGAACAGCCCTGACTTTCACTTTTTGTCGAATACAAAAAGCGCCAAATACCGTTTTGTATAGACGCAAAGACCAATTATGAAGTATTAACATATTTGTCTTTAATCCTAGATGTCCAGTGGACGACAAGCTGATCTCCCGGTTCCGAGGCTCGTGGTCTGAGTCAGGCGTGTTCGAAACGCAAGTATACGCGTACATGAAGACGTTCCGCTTCACCGGCTCGCCCGCGCTCTACATCGAGTGCGACGTGCGCATGTGCCACGGGAGATGTCCGGTAAGTTAGGAGTATCAAGTATTCTTTGTACTTTGAGACAATTTATCGTAGGTAATATTACCATCATTATCAGCCTATTAAAGTCCCCAATACTGTGGTATATAGTACAGTCAATCTGTCGAAAAAAATATCGTTTCAGTGAAAAAAAAACCTAAAGGGTAAGTCTTGTTTTTTCTGTTGCCAAATGACGTCAGTAAGCCACCTTGGCGATGGGCATGTTCAACTCGTAGGCGTTTTTTGAAAAACTCAAAAAAACCTTCAAAAATTTTTTGAAACGCATTTTTCTTGTTTTGTTTGCATTTTAGAAACTTTTTTTTCGACCATAATTGTAGAGAGCGTTGAGTGCTACAATTTATGTCATTTTTGCAATCTCGTACAACAAAAAATGCGCATTGTAGCTGGCGCTAAAGTCTTAAAAAAGTGTTTTTTTACTTTTTATCACCCTGAAAATATCATTTTAATGGAAACTTTAAATGGCAAAGTTGTTTCGTACATAATTACCAACAACTTTTGTATAAACATTTTTTTTGTATTACTTACCGTTTTCAAGTTATAAATTGCGCAGATATGAAAAATCCAATAGAGCGGTTTTGGGCAGTTCAAGTACTTATATTTGCAGTGTACATTATAATGTACGTTTTTACTATTTTTTTTTCAATCAGGAAAAAAAATAAAAATAAAACTATTTTTTTCATTTTTTTTTGTTTTTCGATCATGAAAAAAAATAAAAAATAGTAAAACGTACATTGAAATGTGCACTGCAAATGTGTACTTGAACTGCCCAAAACAGCTCTATTGGATTTTCCATACCTGCGCAATTTATAACTTGAAAACGGTAAGTAATACAAAAAAAAAATGTTTATACAAAAGTTGTTGATAATTATGTACGGAACAACTTTTCCATTTAAAGTTTTCCATTAAAATGATATTTTCAGGGTGAAAAAGTGAAAAAACACTTTTTTGAGACTTTAGTGCCACCTACAATGCGCATTTTTTGTTGTACGAGATTGCAACAATGACATAAATTGTAGTACTCAGCGCCCTCTACAATTATGGTTGAAAAAAAAGTTTCTAAAATGCATACAAAACAAGAAAAATACGTTTCAAAAAATTTTTGACGGTTTTTTTGAGATTTTCAAAAAACGCCTACGAGTTGAACATGCCCATCGCCAAGGTGGCTTACTGACATCATTTGGCAACAGAAAAAACAAGACTTACCCTTAAGGTTTTTTTTTCACCACTCAACCTACAGATTGACTGTACTAATAGGTTTTCCGATGGGTGGAATAGAAAGATTGGGACATGAGTGATGACTTACCACGCGAGTCGTATGGAACTAGCACGCGAGCCAGTAGATGCAGCCAGGATCAATGACTTAATCATGACTTCCGAAGTATAGAGGGGAATTTGAGATAATAAATTTTTGGTCACCCATCCCAATGACCAGCTATTGCGAAAGTAAATTACCTATATAACCATAGTTGACCTTAAAACCTGCACTACTCACAAGTTCACAAAAGTTGATTGAGTACGAAAACGTAGAAAGATACTACGGGTCGCTTCGACTAACCTCACCTCGCCTCGGATGACTTCCGATCGACGTCGGTTTTTGTGCCCAAGTCAAAGGACTCGCGTCCTTCAGACTTTTGCCAACTTCGCGTAATGTAGTGGACATTTATGAGTGAGCGTGTTCTAATTTAGCAGATAGTCTTATAACTATAAATATGGACAATAGGCTGAGCGACACTGTCATAAAATTAACTACTCTCTAAAAAGAGTAAAAGCGATAGCGCAACCCATAGATATTAAGACTATTGGCCGCACGATCACCCAGTTTTGTTAACAGTTGGACAAGAAATGCTGAGTCAATTTTCGTTCCTTATGCCTTTACCAAATTTTCGGAAAACAGAGAACCAACTTTAATAGTTTCTTTTCCTTATAGTCGCAGCCGTGTCATTGGCGTAACATGAAGAGTGTGCGACGTCGTTCAGTCGACGATGCTGAGCGAGCGAGCGTGGCGCCGCGACTTTCCGAGAACATCTCGTTGTTCCAGTCACTCCGCGTACTGCAGGAGGGAGAGGAAGACTCGGAACTTACCGCAAACAAAGGTTCCTGTCAACACTTAGCATTTGTTTTTGCGACTACGCCGTTGGCGCAACATGAAGTGCATTGTGCCGCGTCTTTCTGAAAACGTATGGCATGACGAGCGTGGCGTCGCGTCTTTTTGAGAATATCTCACTGCTCCAGTCAAACCACTTTCTGCAGAAGGAAGAGGAAGTCTCGCAGTTCACCGCTTAGGTCCGTATACTTATCATTTTTTATTGTGACCACATTACTGGCGCAATATGAACAAAATGACACCGTAACTACAATCACTCCGCGTACTGCAGGAGCGGGAGGAAGACTCGGAGCTCACCGCTAACAAAGGTCCGTATCAACACTGATTATATTTTGCCACAACTACGATAACAATATTTTGCTTTTGTACTTCCTGATGTTTAATCTCTTTAATTTCTCAGACCTTGTAAATCATCGAGTGTTAAACGCTCTCGTACATCGCCATATTATCATTATGCCCGTATCGCCTAAGGGCCTTTGTCAACGAGCACCAATACGTGGTACCAATATACATGACTTAGTCAACTTCGTTGGTTCGTTAACCAATCGTTGAGAAGGATAAGTTAATTGCACTGACCCTGTGTCCGTAACAAAAGACATAACAAGTTTCGCAACATGTCTAGCGTCTGTTATGTCTCTTGTTATATAATGCGATGCAAACTTTATGGCGGTTGTGAAGTTAGTAGGAAGCGCAATTATGTACCAGTTTCAGTTCAGTGAATCCCCGGGCGCACCGCAGAGGCGTCTTTACTGTTGGAGTAGGATGTTTGTCTTAGGGGGCCCGAGTGCCATTCGTCACCATTCTATTTTGACCGCTCGCTTATTAGAGGGCGCTAGGGTTATGATGACACATGGGCGCTACAAGGGCTAGAAACGACGACGTTTACTGCGCAGCGACTGGCTTCTCTTCAAAGCCGTCATTAAGTGAAGTTAAATCGCACTATACTCATGTACTAACGGTCACGTTTTCTCCCAGGTTCACTAGAGGGTCAGACGTGCATGCGTACGTCCGCAGTGTCCGCTCTCATAGCAGCGTGCGGCGTGCTGGCGGCGGGGCTGTGCGCCGCGCTACTGGTAGCTGCGCGAGCCCTCACCCGCGCCTCGAGAGCTACCGGCCATCACGCGTACGTGCCTCATAAGGGGCGCATCAAGTAAACGACCACTACACGCAACGCTACTATACAACCCGCGCCATCCTAAACGAGATACCTTGTGACGTCACCCTGGGACTTGTTCCGAGATCGATCGTCAATCATTATCGACAGCCTATCCTAGTCCACTGCTGGACAAAGGCCTCTCCAATTGCACGTCACTGAGATTGATCTTGGGCTACTCGCATCCAGCAGCAGCATCCAGCCAGCCATCTATCGAGATCGATAGGCCAATGATATTATATGTAAAAATAGACACTAGAAGGTCAGCCTTACGTCTGCGCGTGCGATGTCCTGGCGGCGGGGCTGTGCGCAGCGTATTGGTAGCTGCGCGCGCTCTCACCCGCGCCTGGAGAGTTACCGGCCATCACGCGTACGTGCCTCATAAGGGACACATCAAATAAACGATCATTACAGGCAACTCTACGATACAACCCGCGCCATCCAAAACGATATACCTTGTGATGTCACCCTGGGACTTATTCCGAGATCGATAGGTCAATTATATTATATGTAAATGCGCGCACTAGAAGGTCGGACTTGCGTCCGCTTTTATAGCAGCGTGCGGCGTGCTGGCGGCGTGGCTGTGCGTCGCGCTACTGGCAGCTGTGCTCTCCCGCGCCTCGAGAGCTACCGAGCATCACGCTTATGTGCCTAATAAGGGGCGCATCAAGTAAGCAATCACTACAGGCAACGCTACGATACAATCCGCGCGATCCAAAACAAGATACCTTGTGACTAGAGGATTCGATCCCGGTCGATTTTTCAAATCCCGGGATAGTCCCGGGATTGTATTGGTAATAGAAAGTGGTAACAAAAAGACAGTAAAACATATCAAAATCAACTTTTAATTTTAAATCTTTAGTTAAATCTGCAAAAAACCAAAACAAAATTATACTTTCTTCTGACAAAATAAACAAACTAGGCACTTCATAGTTTCGTTTGAAAACTATTTCATAAATTATTTGCAGAAGTGCCTAGTTTGTTTATTTTATTTTACAACTTAAAAAAATCTACTTCTTAAGACTTGTTTAGATATACTATAAAAAAGACTATAGATAGTCTTTCATTATTTTGGCCCGTTGAGGAAGATGCCTTAGCAGAATCTATTTTTGAAGATAGATGAGTATGTGGGCCTTTGGTTGATCCTCCTAAGGTTTTTAAAATAGCTAAGCAACGAGTACATTGTGCCGCACTACCCGCTTTATCGACTAAAAAATGATTCCACACTGACGAAACATCTTCATCTTTTTTATGTTTGACATAAAAACTTTCTTCGGATAATGTTTATTTCTTAAATCTAAACAATTTTTTTTATTGTTATATGTTTGTTCTACATTGTTCCAAAGTATTATTTGACTGCTTGACAAAAAAACTGTTTTTATGGTAGCCCCCCATGTTTGATAATTCAATATTTTTTTAGTTGTTCTAGTTGTCCCTAACAGTGTTCCAAAGTATTATTTGAAAAAACTCAAATTTGAAGCTGTCGGGTAATAAAACCTTTTATTTATAAAATAAAATCGTACTAGAGACAATAAATAAATCAACAATAATTTTAAACAATGACGATTGTATCAGCACAACCGTGTCGTGTACAATTTCCAAACATGGGGGTAACATAGAAAAACTTTTTTTTTGTCTGGCAGGTTCAAATTTTAGTTTTTTCAAATAATTCTTTGGAACAATGTAGAACAAACAAAGAACAATCCAGAACAACCTGACAGACTAACTTCACAGACGTGCCGCGCGCATTTTGTGGTAGGTAATTCAATACTGTCGCTGACTGCTTTTAAATCACCTACTGTTAATTTTATCAAAATGGTACATTTTTGTTGAGGATTTTTTACAAACAGATGCTGTTGACAATTGTTTCCATAATATTTCCGATTTCATCCTACAACAGATATTCTTGAATAAGTTGTATATGAACCTAAAAAAACATATTTTAGAAGCTACAGTTAAAAAAAGCATACACATATTAAAAAACGAGCACCAGAATTTTGTAGTACCTATATACCAGATAAAAAAACAACCATTACACAATATATTTATTATTTAATCTAAATAAATATAACACGCGTTAATAAAGACATCGTCGCGTGACATACTGTTCTCTTTCACATTATTCCTGAGAGAATGTGCGTGAGGGTCTGACTTTTGCGTCGTCACTTTCAAATAAAATTCAATATTGACGCGATTTATACTTTATGAAATAAGAGTTTATTACATATGGCCAATTAAATAAGATCATATAACATACGAACAATTGCAATTCTCATCATTGGGTAGCATTATAACTTGTCTCAGTAAAGATGCGAATTGAAAGTCTCTCTTGCAAATAAGAATTTGAGGCAAGGATAGAATGTTGTGCGTCGCCATTATGGATTCGTTTCTTTATTGGCGCTAGTTTAGTTATAAAAGAAAAAACATTTTCTATTGTAATATCCAGCAAACACGTTAGATTTTAAGTTTAAATAAACATACTCATTATTGATAAGTAATAAAGAAGGAGACAGACTGAGAGGACTCATATTTTATTAAAATATATCTCCTCCTCTTTGTCAAGATTACTACATTAAAGTTACGTCTCAAGATTGTGATAAAAAGATAAGTTAGTTAAGTATTGTAAGTAGCTTTATAAGATTAATTTATTGACTCTTAGGTATAGGTTATTTTTCTCTTGATGTAATCACTCAAATAATACTCAGTTGAAGTGTAGCGAAATGATGTCGCTTTATTTATTATAATAGGTTGGAGAAAGTCTTTTCGCATTAAAGTATGTATGAACTTGTAATAAAATCTCTTTAACTATACCATTTGTATCTGGCTGGTTTTGATATGTTATAATGAATTCTCTGTATAGTCCTGACCTTTTACCTTCAGATTTCCACCTGTTTCGGCCTCTTCAGAATTATTTAGGCAGTGTCGGGTTAACATCACGAAAGGGCTACCAATACTACTTGTCGCGGTTTTTGACCAAAAGCCCCAAAATTTCTATATTAATGGGAATCATGTCCCTACCTACAATATGGCAAAAACTTATCGAACAAAATGGCACCTACATACTTTAGGTAAAATAAACTTTATAAAAAAAAGTGAATTTTCATATAATATGCGAAGAAAATTTTCATCATCATCATCATCATCGGCCTATTAATGTCCCCACTGCTGGGGCACAGGCCTTCCCTATGGATGGAATAGGGAGATTGGGCCATGATCCACCACGCGGGCCCAGTGCGGATTGGTGGGTGCTAACGACTGCAGATGCAGCCGGGACCAACGGCTTAACGTGCCTTCCGAAGCACGGAGGAGCTCGATATAGTAAATTTTTGGTCACCCATCCAATGACCGACCAAGAAAAATCTACCCCAACCTAATAGGTAACGCATACATTTAAAAAAGGAAAAAAATATTTAAATTATCCCCAAAAAATAGTTAACGATCATCCTAAACAACAATCGGTAACCTAAAGGTTAGGATATGCTATGAATTGTATATTTTTGATGATCATTTATTATTTTTTGATATTGAAGTATGTCTTTAAAAATACTTATTTATAATTTATAGTAAGAAATGGCAATATTCATAGTTCAATCATAATAAAGGCGAGAATTGTTGGCACTGAACATTGATAGAATGTAGAAGAAGAATTTATGAAGTTTCTTCTCATTATTGATATGAAATGCGAGCAGTTAGTACCTCAACTTTCCAAAACATTTACTTCAAAGCACTTTGCTGTAGATAAAGTAATAATCGCTTGAGTTTTACTAGTTGATAATTTTACTTGGTGTTTCTACAAAAGAGCTCATTTGATTAAAGTGATATCACAAATTATGGAAACAATAAAAAATATCAAATGTTTTATTTAAAGTTAAATATATTTCTTGAAATTATACAATTAGCGGTGCTGACCAAATGGTGCTGTAAGATATATTAACGTTAAAAGTTCAAAAGTGTAAATAATAGATAAAGGTAATATTTTTCTCACTATTAGATTTTAGTAATATAATAATTAAGTAGATTTTTCACTGTATTGTACATTGTTTTGAAGTGTGAAAATAAATGGTTTGAAATATATTTGTATCTTGATTCATTAGCATGACACCTTATCACTTTAATATTTTCTAAATGGAAATTATTTCCCCTGTTCCATTTATCCCTACAGACATATCTCCACTACTAGTGGATACTTAGTTTTTTTTCATTAATCGCTTGCAGTTGGGTTATATGGAACTTTATATTCCATATATCCCTACTGATCCGCATTGCAAGGGATAATTGGATATATTTTTTCCATTTATCGCTACCAGTAGAGATAAGTTTTCAAGTATTTTTTATATGATTAACTAGTTGTTCCTGAATTACTTGTGAAAGTGCCAGGAGACCATAAAAATATTCAGAACCAGTAATTAAAAATTACTTTCTTTCTTTCCATTTTTATAGCCAGAACCTCTTAGCCTTGTATGGTATCCTGGTACTATTACGGAATAATGATTTTTATATGGGAAACTAAAATGAGGTTATAAAACAAACCATAGGCGTATTATAATTCAATGAAAATACAGGGCGTCCCACGGCTACCTCACACGGAGGGAAAGTATATTAAATATTGAAGATAGGACATTTTACTGAAAGAAGACATCATTTTATTTTTAATAATAACTAGATCTGCATTCAGAGATTTATTTAAAATCGCCTACTACAACTGAGAATCAAACACGTGAAATTTCGAAAAAAATAACACGGCATATTTTATAATAACCATCGAAAGGGTTAATCATAAGGATTATTTTTTGCTAAATAACATAGCATTTTAAATAAATGGAATGTGAATTACGTGATAAAAATAATAAAGTGATATAAAAACTGTAGTACGTATTTTACTGTAGTACAATTTGTATATCACTTTATTATTTTTATCACGTAATAAGACATTCTTTTCATTTAAAATGCTATTTAATTTAGCAAAACATAATTTTTATGATTAACCCTTTCGATGGGTATCATAAAATATGTCATGTTTTTTTTTTCGAAATTTCACGAGTTTGATTCCCAGTTGTAACAGGCGATTTTAAAAAAAATTGTGACGGCAGTTAACCTACCCGTGCGTAGGGATATGTTGAATAGAAAGTTCCATATATCCCAACTGGTAGGGATACATGGATAAATGCTCCAAGTAGTGGTCCAACCCTACTAGTGAAGATATGTCAGTAGGGATTTATGGAACAGGGTATTATTTTTATCTTGAAACTTTCTTTGATTATATAAAAGAAACAACTAAATGCTTAAATAATAATATGTCACCTTTCTTTTAGGAATGTTTTACGGAGTAAAGCTGTTTAAGTATTTATGATGTCATCGTAAGTAACTATCATTTTTGTAGACTAAAAAAAAGAAATATGAATAAAACACTGTAGATAAAAAATCAACATTTTTAATAAACGCACACATCTTAAATACAAAATTTATAAAACTTACAAAATTAACAATTTACTTAAATAAAAAAAATACGTTACATTGATACTAATAAAAAATAAATTAGTTACAAAAAAGTAAGTGTTAAAAAAAATAAAACCCTCATAAGCTTTGCGCATAAGTTTCAGAAAGATACTGTCATGATTCGATTGATTTGTTCATAATATTTTTCTTAATACTATAGATCACATACATTTGGAGGCTAAAGTCATTCTTCTGCTAGATCCTTAAGAACTCTCGCCAGATACTCTATGGCACTGTCTAGTATTTGTACTTCGCATTCCTTTAAAAGTTTAACATTTTTCCTGTGAACAACATAACCTCCTTAGTACTTAAAAGAAGCAGGATATCCAATAATAATTGAATGATCAAACAAACTTACGTAAATGATTTTTTTTTTATTTTTTAAGCACGTTCGATCTTTAATCTAATGAAAATATTACTAGAAAAAAATCTACGCGAACCAGACAGCAGACGAGGCAGTCCGATTTTCTTTAGATTGTCTAAGTGAGGTTCGATTTGAATTGTCCTGTAATCGCCGAAGAGATTAAGGATCCCGCCCACTCTAATATTTTTTTTTATTCAGATTTACAACCGTACTCAGAAACATGAAATTAATACAATAATGCTTCATTAAGTCGCGCGTTCTCTCATTCTATTGTTATCGCAAAGACAAAGATAGCATCATCTTTAGTCAAACTAAAAGAATACTTTTTTAAGAATTTAAATTTTAAAACAGAACAGTCTTTAGGAGAGATTAGAAAATAAGTTCTCTGCTAAAATTCATATTTTAAATTTTTGGGGAGAACTGATTTTCTGTTAATCGAAGCGCTCTTCTAGGAACGATGGATCTATCTTCGATGGATTAAAGTGAAATAACGCTGCCTTTTTGTGATATTATTTATAGCAGGTGATACTTAAATATAGCAAGCGCGCCTAAGTTAAAATTATATTACCTATATCTATAGATTAACATCATTATCAGCCTATCAATTCCATCACCGCTGGGGGACAGGCCTTCCCTATGGATGGCATAGAGAGAACGCAATATGACCATGACCAACAACGCGAGCCCATTGCGGATTGGTGGGTGCTTACAACTGCAGATACAGGCGGGACCAACGGTTTAACAAACATTCGAAAGCGTGGCGAGGAAACACGCTTTTGGTCACCCATTTAATGACCGGCCATTACGAAACTAGCTTAACTTCGACGATCGCATACTGAACGCGCTAACCACCTGAGCTCACTATCAGACCATATGCTAGTTTGCCAACATGTAAGACAAGTAGGATTTTCCATTCCAATTGAAGCACTCGTCGAGGGAAAATAACCTCACTTTACAGAAGACAACACAGTAAAATAACCCTACACTCTGTTGTGGTTCTGTCAATAACTAAAGTTCTAGAGTTTCGCAAAGATCTATTGGCTATGGTGGCCGCTTACCAACAGACGGGCCATAAACTTGTTTGCCATCCTTTCAACATAAAAAATGACTAAATAAACAAACCTGTGTAAGTTGTCCGGTTCAATTTCTTCCTTGTCCTTATTATAAGCAGCCCGTATCAGCTTGCACCTCGTCAGCAGATAGCTGTGAGAACGTCTCTCCAATGTATTGCCAACAGCAGCAGTACTTGTCGGATCAAACGAAACTAGATCGCTGGGTAGACTACTGCCAGACCATTTGGCAAGCTCCTCTGTAATTTCCTTACATTTAAAAAGTTATTTTTGAATTGGTACCAGGGCTCCATAGGGTAATGGTTTGCTTTAGGGTAGCAAACGACGCGAGGGATATTTTTGGTATCACAAGCGTCTAAAGGCCACCGCTAGGTAGCCACTTATACCATCAAGCGGGCCAGACGCTTCTTTGCCAATTTATTAACATAAAAAAAGAACTCATACAATTAGGATCGTGTATGCATTTCTAGAGTAATTTGATCCCATTTCTTTTTCATGTAACTGTAGTAGTAAAACATGTTAACAAAGTTTTTTTTTTAGGTTTATTACTGGATTCAATTTCTTCATCTGATATTGTATCATTGTATCACAAAGAGTTGTAGTAATTTGAAATTCATGTAAAGTTTTGGACAGCACAGCTGTACTGTAAAAATATCACATTTTTGAACATGGGCATATTACCTGCATTTGTTGGCGGATATTATGAATCTGAGAAATGAAAAAATTAAAAGCGTGGGCAGTCTATTGTTGAGCGTAACTTGATTTAGTATGCCATACTAATATTATTGTTACGTGTCGGGATAGGGTTCGAAATTATATGCCAGTTCACGTTTGTCAGTACTTTATTCACCACACAGTTAAGTAGTAACTAAAGGTAATGGCTGAGAGGACGAACATGCCCTGACCTCAATCATTCTTGCGCTCATCCCTCCTGAGCATGGCATGTTCGTCCTCTCAGCCATTACCTTTAGCTACTTTTTGAAATTGATGCCTGAATGGCGTGCCAGCAAACAGGTCTTTTAAAACTTTCTCATGAGCCTGTAAAGTCTCCTTGACTTCGCCAATAGTTTCTTGATATTTTTCTAGGGTCTCCTGGTATTTGTTAGTAAGACTCTTTACACATTATATTTCCTCTTGGTGATCGCACAAAGTTGTTTTGAATGTTTCAAGTTTCGAATCAATTCATCATGTCATGTTCAATCATGTCCTCCTTCACGTCCGCGATCGCTTGTCGTTGACTCTCTATAGCTTGTCGTTGGCCCTCTTGAATAGCTTGTATAGCCGCCATTAACGAGGATATATCGAACGCAGGCGCAGTAGTTGTAGCGGTAACACCACTATGGTGAGCAGCCTGTAGCGTGCTGGTCTCTTCATCAGGCGTCGCTGTTCCCGACCCCCGTGAATAATGGTCCATTATGGCCTGCCGTCGATATTTTTCACCACACAGTTAGCTCAAGATGTTAATGACAATACACTCACTAAACACTCTATTTCACTATACTAGTCTTTAAACAATCGCACTTGAACAATTTACTTGCACTTTGATCGCTTTTGTATTCGTTGCGAAATCGCTGTTGAAACTCAACTGTTTCTGCGCGGCGCCTATCGCGCTTATGTACGCCAATCAACGCATTCTAGAAAAGTCTCGTTAAATTGAGAGTCAACTAGCACCCGCGAGTGCGTAGTACCTACTTATACCTACGTAGGTAACGCGCATAAGTTGTAAATAAGTGCCGATGTCGTTGCACTTTCTCCCTTACGGCGCACTGCATAAGGCTCATATTAGAATGAGCCACACCACTCGACCTTTATCGCAATCCGCGGTGTACTGGTAAATTCTGTCTCTAGTATTTTCGCGGTTGTGTGTCGAGAGCGTTAGTGACTTTATAAAAACGAAAGTAACTATGTCTCTCGGTCTGTTTGCAGCTGAACCGATTTTGATGCATTTCGGTATGGATATAATATTGGAGAATAATATCGGCTACTTTTGGTGACGAAAAACAATTTGAAGGGGATGAAAATATAGGATGACTGTTAGACAGGAAGACTGTTTAAAAAAAAAAGATTCATAAGCCGAGTATTTTTTCAGCTAATATCAATAAAGTCTTGTTATACAGAGAGAGCTATTATAAATTACTAATTGATGTGTCCCGTTTTAACATTCCCAATAAAATCAATCTCGCAAGTGCAACTCTAATCCCCAGAACATACGGTTAGTTTTCGCGAAACTTACTCGTAAAAAACTATTATAAATTAAAGCGGTGTGCATGTCCAATCGTCACATTACAACTCATTTATTTGGTAAAAGTTTTTACTGTTACGTTAGCTTATGGAAAAAATACACCAGATTACGTTTAACACCGGCTCAAATCAATTGAATTCAGGGAAATTGTATTTACTTTTGTAAGTATAACGTTATTGTTTTACTTTTATTATAAAAAGTAAAAATAAAAGCCTGTCTTCAAAATTTTGGTGTAGGAAGAATTTGTATTAGTGGAAGCTTTAGTAATCTAATTATGTAAATATGAAAAAGAATTGGAAAACATGCTTTGTATTTTTCTGAATACGACGCACGCAAGGACTCCTTTCTTATGTTTTGGATAAAGAATTCGAGAATATTGAGGAGACTGTTTCCTGCATTCACCCAATAATTGATCAATCTGGTAGCTAATTGTCTAACTTAATCTCTTTCGCCCAGTACGTTCAACGCAAGTAATACCGGGCTGACAGGATTTTCACCTTCACATAGATTGTAGCAATGGAGGATCACTCGAGGGTAATTCCAGATTCTTCCATAGCGAAGTCCTATGTCCAAGCACCTGACTACATGAAAAGTTCAGTGATTTTTATATAACATTACCTTGGTTCATGTTGAATATCCTTATAAACGCCAACAGTTCTGGACTGACCGGATTCTCTCCCTGGTACAGATTGTAGTGTGTGACTCCGGATAAGCCTAGTTTGGTAAGCAATGCGAGCCTAGTTTCTCGAAGTGGATCACTAGAGCTCACACCCAGAGTTAGAGAAAGACTGTCGTGTCTGTTGTTAGGGTACACGAATCTGAAAATAAGGGACTTTCTTAACTCATAATAATTTATTTATTGCTAGGGCACAAACTTTCTTTATGCATAAATGGGGAGAGTATAGGGCGTCATCCATAAAGTTCGTCACACGCTAAGGGAGAGGGAGGGGGTCGACGAATTGTGACATTGTGTAATCTTTAAGTATACAAAGTGTGCCTTCAGTAATTGCATTCACAATTTCACACTATCGTTATACACTCGCAAGACTTAACGAGAAGTCATTTAATGAATAGCTTTGAAAAATTTTGATATTGCTAAACGGATCGCCATGCTGAAGTGGCAATGGGCGACGTACATTATTTGGCGAACCTATGGACGTTGGGGTCCCAAATTTTGCATCAATGGCAACCTTGCACCGTGAAGCGCAATTTTGGTAAACAGGTGGACTGATGACATCAAGCGACTCGGAGGGACCCACTCGAGACGGAAAGCGCACGAGTGGTCCAGCAGTGGACGTCCATCGGCTGATGATGAGGTCTCGTTGTCTTGAATATTGACAAAACTATAAGCTAAGAAAAATTTACAATAATAAATATTTGTATTTATCATATGCGCTCGTGCATTAACAGAAAGTTGTTGTTATTTCTCGGCATTGTGCGATCATCGGGATGATATAACGATGTACTCGCGGATAATAGATTGCGTCACCGATGTTATGAATCAGGAATAAACATTGTGCTGGCCGGGCTCATGTTAAATGAACTGGAAAACGGTTGAACAAACCGGCATGTTACGGATCGCTACTGTAGTCGCCTTAATTGGCATTTTGAATCTTATGTCTCTGTGTTAAATATAAGATAATACAATAACGATGTCTAATACATGTAGAGAAGCCCAATCGGAAATTTGCAAAGCCTTGCACCTTGTGAAGTAATCCGGGATTAAAAAGTGAAGTAAAAGGGAACAGATATGGGGTGATATCTGATCCATTTTTATGGGGCGAACGTCTAGGGCAGCAAAAAAAATTAACAAACAGCCATGACTTTTCATCGCGTCCAAATAGTCAGTCAGTTGAATAGGAGCTACTGGAGAGTTCACGTAACATCCCTCTTCTGTCCAATCCAATGTCTGACGCGCTGTAACATTTTTCTGTAATGCCTATGAAACAATTGCGTTTGTTCGTGAATGCCTTAACTATATTTCATCATCACCATCACCAGCCTACTAATGCCCTCACTATTGATACACAGGCTAAGAATTATGAACGGAAAGGGAAAAACTGTCACGGACTCACCACGCGGAAACAGTGCGGGTTGGTAATTGCTAACGACTGCAGATGGAGGCGATTTTCAGATGGAGTTATTATGAAACTTGACTGAAGCCCAGGCTTAGCCTCTTGCCGAGAGGATTTTAAAAGACGATGAATAAATGAATGAAGATTATAAAATACCTGAGCCGTATCTTCCCTTTTTGTTATAATCTAAATTTAGTTCTCTCTCACTCACCCATTGTGTAGGAATAGATCAGCGTTTGAGCGGGATCCGTAAAATATGAATATCTGTTCGCCTTCCTTGAAGTCACGTAGAGCGTAACATTCACCCCTGTCTTGTTCTTTGTTGAAGTCTGTCGTTATCTGAAATTGTTGACTCGAATGTTGATAAAACGAATACCTTAAATAAAAATTTGAAATCTTTTTAAATTAAGTCCACACGCAACGTAAGGAAATAATTACTATAGATATTGAGAAGTAAAATACGAAATATTTAAAGAATTTTGATCGTATGCCTAAGTTAGACCTTTAGGAAATATATGAGGCATCCGTTGATAAGTGTTGCTATCATCGTTGTTAAAACTTAAAGAATCATCTACACGCAAACTAGTCACAATAGATTTTAAGTCCTGAGTAGACCAAGATGATTTAGAAAATACTTCATTTGAATCATGTTCAATAAAATACTGGCAACAAAAATCGTAGACTTTAAGTCTACGATTTTTACCACTTAACAATAATATCATTTTTTTAAGTAATCTACGTTTAAAAAAATCTATCTACCTTTCCGTGCTCGTGGTTACACATGTCCCAAAGCGGGATGAAAGCTGTGACGTCAGAGTTTCCCAGCTGGATGTTGTTCTGTCGCGTCATTACCGTAGATACCGCCCATCTGGCAACAATCAACAAGATATCCTTTATATTTATTTATATATGTCATTTATTTAAAATATTCCAAAAAAATATATCGAGATATTCAGCTCGAATTGGAGCGCCATTAGTATCTAATGTGTATAAAATAAGTTTCTGTAATTGACCTTAAGATTGTATTTATATTTTACTGAATTACATCCACAAAAATCGCTGTGGAAACTTTGTTAAAGATAAACAAATGAATTAACCTCAATTTTTTGACGTCTACAGTAAGCAACATTTTTTAGTGGTTAAATAGATTAAAGGTTCTCGTTAAATGATACTAATTATATTTTTATGAAAAGGGAAATGCGCTGTCACGTTAGCAATACAAACGTTACTTCCTTTCAGGAATATAATTAGGAAAATGTCAGTTTTCCTCATTGAGCACGCGACACCTGAATTGCTTAGGGCTGTTTCACACAGGAATGGCAGCGGCTGGCGCGGCGCGGTAACGCGGCGATCAATTCAGTGTGAAAAATTTTTAAAACTCATCCTTAAGACCAGTATCGTTTGAAAAGTTCGAAGAAGGCGCGGTGCTGCCGCCTGCTCATGACACCACGGGGCCTTTTCAAGCGATACTAGTATTTTACAATAAAATACAAAATATTTTATTGTACACCACAGAAACTTTACGTTTAATACAAAGCCATTTAAATCTACTATTATAATGTCCGGTTTATCGCTAATAGCCATCTCTTCCAGGCAACCTTTGGATGGAGAAGATTTAAAAAATGTCAATAAAATTTAAAAACGTTTTACACAGAAAGTGTTCGCCTCGTTGATCCAAGCCGCCCGCTGCCTTTACGGTGTGACTCGGCCCTTACGGTCATTCACTCTGCGAATTTATTATTTTGTGGTTACGTTCGATGTCGTGATTTTTGCCGGAACCGTTGGACGTGTTTTGGAAACATGGCTGTTTGCGTCACAATCCACCAACCATCTTTTAATCAAACACTGTCACTACCTACTACATATTTATGACGAGTTTCCTATTAAGTAAATAATAGAAAAAGTAGAGAAGTTTATGTTTCTTTTGTTTTGTGTATATGCATTTTTAAAATAAAATTTATTATCACTAGTACTAGAGATGGTGAAAAAAGTAATTGTTATGTTTAAGATTACATATCTTAAACAATAATTGGCCATTAATAAGGAGATTTATTGTGCTAAGAGTACTTTATATACCTAACTTTAAATTTTCTTGCAATTGGTACTGAAATACTACTTTGTATTTTTTTTTCAAAATTATAAAGGAGTAATAATTGGTCTACTTCAGCATTAAAAAAAAGAAATAATACAAACAAGAAAAAAAAGGCAAATTCTAAATGTCATTATTGAATCTTGAATTGAATTCTTTCATAAGATAAAATTAATTAATGAAGCAGTAAATTAGCAAAAGCGTATTCACAATAACGCATGTTTACTTTATAAATAACTAATGGGCCGCTCTCACTTCGCTTCTCTATGTAGACTATAGTTTCACACTCGAGAGGATAACGTTATTTATGTTGATAATAATTTATAATTGCTGATAATATTTTGACCAATAAATATAACAACGATTTTATATAAAAACTACTTTTTGTGACTTAAATAAAGAAGTTAGAAATTGCTATCGGTGACTTTTTTGTAGGCATTATTAAGCTGTACAACTTTTTTCTAGAACTTTTCATAAATCTCTCATCAGTATGGCAGCGTTCGTAAGATTTTTAAGAGCGCGAATCGCGACGCGTCAGACAGGGAATAGTGTTATCCAGTCTATATTTTCTCCGATTAACTTTGCAAATCCGACTACCACGGAAGTCTTTTAATTTTTCAGGTTAATATATAGCCTATGAATGCTAGCCAATGTATAACGTTATACGTATAATTGTGTTCAATTGTTGTCCGCTTTATTCCGGCATTCGCAGATCAACTTTGCCATAGGACGCTGGCTGAAAATCAACGCTGCTGTGGTAGAGCGAAAGCGTTTACCACAGAGCATAGCTGAGGCAGCGCCCTATTGGCCTTACACGGCACGAACCTAGAAATTTATTTTTTCTTATTTTTATTTATTATTATTGTCTATGTTTTGACTGTTATAAAACCATTTTGTACTTCTAAATTAATGCTGTGAAGGCCAATAAAATGTTTTTCTTTCTTTCTTTTCTTTCTTTCTATGACACTCAAAACGAAGGTGGTTTTTTATTGGTAAAAAACCGGTTCAGTAGATCCAGAGTTACGGTTCAGTTGTGATCCAAGATCATAAACTCACAAACTTTACCTCTTTACAATATTTGTGTAGATTACATAATGTTCTCTGTGTCGTGTTTATTGAAGTTATACTTCTTTAGGCGCGTTATGAAAAAATGATGAGAGTGAAATTTGAAGATGCGCGCGCATCACTGTAACACAAAATTTTAACAGCATGAAGTTGGTCGCTTTAGCGACCAACTTCATGCGTTACTTTTGTGTTTACCGCACATTAAGAAAATCTACCAACAAAATAGAAATAGAATATCTATTTAGTGGGTGCTAACGACTGCATGTGAAGGCCTATCAAAAGTATTTATTAATCTGGAACAACGGAACCAAAGCGCGATTCAGGAGACTACAGCGCCATCTCTTGACCATTGGTGTAGTAGAACCAAAAACCAAATCTTTATTTTTTGTAACAAAGTAACAGTTATAGGTATTCATATTTATAATATCAAAAGTATTTATTAATCTGGAACAACGGAACCAAAGCGCGATTCAGGAGACTACAGCGGCATCTCTTGACCATTGGTGTAGTAGAACCAAAAACCACATCTTTATTTTTTGTAATAAAGTAACAGTTATAGGTATTCATATTTATAATATTTATCCACATGTTTCTAGTTTGTATATTCGGAATACGTGTTTGAGTTTCATACAAGTGCAAATCACATATGTTCTAATAAATTATATTCAGTAGCGATTTTAATTAAATATTTTGATTATTTATTTATTTTTTCAAATTAAAACTGAACTTTATTGACTGTGTCCTTTTCCAGACTTTTTATTAATTTATTGTAATTAATTATTTGCATGCAATTAAAAACTAATTATAAACGATGCCAAAGAAGGATAACTTCTCACGCGCCTACATAAGTACACGCACCCATTTTTTTTTATAGAGACTCCATTTTAATTCAATATAGCACATGAAGTTATAATTTTTATAGAAATGTGGTAGAAAGTCCTTACTTGTAATATATCAAGAACATATTAAATTTAAATGTTTTAGACAGCCACGCGTTTAATAAAATAGAAGAAAGCATATAAAAAGTAACAACTATAATTATTGGTGGCAAAAATGTTGTTTAGAAGTGATCATCTTTTTTTACACAGCCATCCATAAGTTTACGTAACCTGTGCAAAGTCATTTGAGTCATCATAAAAAAATATCAGTCGAAATAAAATAAAACAAAGATACATATAATGGACGTGCTTTATCTTAGTATTTTTTTTGTTGAATAACAAAGGCAAAATTAATAGTTTAAAAATACTAGAAAAACACGCTTTTATATTTTCACATAAAACCCAAAAATAAATTATGGTTCGTCCAAGTTTTCTAGGCTGAAGTGTAAATTATGTGCTTTTAATTATAATATTTGACTGTTAAAGGGGCTGGAACAGGAAAGACTTTTTGTATAATTTGCAGAGAAATCAAGTTAAGCGATGTTACAGATGTTGAGCCCAGAAATAGAGACATCTTGAACGATCCATAATTTATCTTTGGTTTTTAATGTTCCATCAGCCACCTTCCAGTGCCATCATCAGACCAGATCGATGGTACCATAATATTGTGTAATCATTTAAACTACATATAATTCCAAAGTTTTAAAGACGAATCTCATGAGCCAAAATTCGATTTGTTTACTATTAGGCAGTCCAGCGTCAAGTCCTCAGGAGAAACGAACAGAATATGTTAAGGCGAATTTAATGAGCCCAAACTCGATATGATTAATAGCAGGCAGTCCAAGGTTCCATCAGCCACCTTCCATTCCCATCATCAGACCAGCTCGATGGTACCATAATATTGTATCGTCATCTAATCTACATATGATCCAAGTTTCATGATGATACAAGAATCAGAAGTGCGTGTAATTCAGATTCTTAGATTTCATTACATAGTTACATACAAGTGGACCTAATAAAAGCGTGTTAAAAATAACTGTACATTATTTTTTCGATAATCTAAATGACGATAGAATTTCGTTTAATTTACCCCGTCATCATGCCCTATTATACTCCCTTTTCCTATATCCCTCAATATTGACGTATCAATATCAAACGATAATGTAACTGCATTATTAATGCAGCTAACCACGACGAAAATAAAATTAATAACAATACGACGACAGAGAAGTGTAGCTTGGATTAAAAGGCGCCGCCGTTTTGAGAGAATATTATGTCTTAAAATTTTAAAAAGTGTTATCATACTCATGATCTCAACAGAAATGAGATGGAACAAACCACTAAACAATAGACAATGAGATTTCTGTTCCAACCAACAGACAGTTAAGTATTACCATCAAGTAATTACCTACGCGGGTGTTTTTTTTTTTAAGAGTTTTAAGAGTTCCGTATCTCAAAAGGAAATACTGAACCCTTATAAGATATTTAGAAATAGAAACATTTTGAGCTATCGCGCTATAAGAGATACTTTAACTTGGTGGCGAGTCGCAATAGTTCTTTGAGGTCACAGTGACTATAATTCCATTAGGATTGCATAGCCCTAAAAATCCGAAATACTAATAAAAAATAACGTAAAAAAATACCGTTTATGTGGCGTACCTACAAATTTGTACGGAACCCACGGTGGAGGTGTCAGACTCGCACTTTTCCGGTTGTTTTGCCAGCATCACCTATTGTTGTCTTGGCGACATCTTGTTTGCCGTAAGTATTACGTACAACATGGAGGTACTTTCAATTTTATTGCATTACGCCATAGTTAGATGAAAGTGAGAATTT